CCATTAGCATCATCGCCAAAATCATCATCTAGCAATCATCATCTTCATCCTCATCATTTTCTTTATCATCATCTTCACCGTCATTCTCTTTATCATCATCATCTTTACTGCCATCATCATTACCATCATCTTCTTCATCATCGTCTTCATCATCACCACCGTCATCTTCTTCACTGTCATCATCATCATCATCATCATCCCCACTGTCAACACCATCATCATCTTCACCATCATCATCACTATCATCATCATCATCATCATCACCACCACCATCATCATTTTCACCATCATCATCATCAATCATCGCCTTCGCTATCACGACCATCCTACGAAATCATCGTTCTTGGCAGGCTTCCACCAATCAGCATTCGTACGCCTCATGACGTATTAATGACGTAGGCATGACGTCACTCTTGTTTATTTTTATAAATATACACCAGGCACGCACGCGCACCAAATAAATATGATGCATCCCCCAATCAGTCATCTTCATGTTTTTGTAAAAGTGAAATTTGATCGAATGAATTTTGTTGATTTTTCGTCATTATTATTATTATTGTTGTTATTATTATTATTATCGTAGACTACTTTCTCATTTTAATTTATTTTATTTTATTTTATTTTATTTTATTTCATTGAATATTTATTTCGCCCCTTTTTTGGAAAAAATAAAAGAGTTCCCATTATTACTTTATTATTATCATCGCTAGTATTCATTAATTATGACGATGACGATGACGAGCTTGATTGATTTTTACAGGAAAATCTGGCATTTATATTTATATCTTATCTTCATGATTGCAAGCTAATTAGTAGTAGGAGTGGGAGGCACGATATGATGAATGTGTGTGTGCCTACCTGTATGCCTGTGTGCGTGTTCCACTCACACACATACACCATACACAAACACATAAATACTTACAAAAATACAGGAATACATACACTACACAAACGCACATACAAACACACGTGTGTGTGTTTGTATGTGCGTTTTTGTATGTGTGCCTACCTGTATGCCTGTGTGCGTGTTCCACTCACACACATACACCATACACAAACACATAAATACTTACAAAAATACAGGAATACATACACTACACAAACGCACATATACACACACATATACACACACACACATACATAAATACACACACACCTAAATACATAAAAAAATACATAAACACATACACTACACAAACACACAAATAGACACAAATACATACACATGCACACACACACATATACACGCACATACACACACACACACAACACGTGTAGCACATGTATTCAGTGAATCTCCTCCCTGATTATCATTGCATTTTGAATAATTAATAACCGTACAGACAGAATGAAAGACGTTTGTACACCTTTCTAGCTCATTCTCACATAAACACACACACACACCTTCATTCATTCAGATTATTTATTACATTATTTATCAATATATATATATATATTATTTTTTTAATTTTATTATTAATGTTGTTGTTGCTGTTGATGCTGTTGTTGTGTTGTTGTTGATGTTGTTGTTGATGTTGATGTTGTTGTTGATGTTTCTCTATCGTCTAAAATGCTGTAACAATTTAAAATATGGAAAAAAAATTTGTTGCCAAATAAATGTTTCGCAACACTGAAAGATCGATTGAAATGCATGGCAAGTCAGCTTAAAATAACAAAATATTGCCAAGTTCTTTGGCAGTCAATAAAGATTTTGTTGTTGTTGATGATGATGTTGTTGTTGTTGATGTTGTTGTTGTTGTTGTTGATGTTTTTGTTGGTGGTGGTGGTGACATCATTGATAGTGTTATTGTTAATGTTTGTAATAAGTTTGCTCATGTTTATCATGATGATTTTGAATCATTTCGCGATTAATTATTCAATTTTTTAGAACTTCTTTACAACTAGATCAATTTTTAATTTTCATTTCAACCTAAAACTCAACACTCATTTTCTAAAACTAACAACAAATCCTTCCCTAATCTCCCCAACCAGGCGAGAAACCGTACGTATGCAGGCAGTGTGGAAAGGCCTTCAGTCAGTCATCCAACCTAATCACCCACAGCAGAAAGCACAGCGGCTTCAAGCCGTTCTCGTGCAAACTCTGCGTCAGAGCCTTCCAACGCAAGGTAGACCTTCGTAGACACATGGAGACGCAGCACTCAACCGCAACCGCAACGGCGACAGCGAGCAGTTGTGGCGATCCGATGAGTGAGGTGCTATCTCCAGTCAATGATGCCACCCCTGACGACAACGATATTCCTTCTCCTAACAATTATCATTACAACAACATCACCTGCAACGACAACAGCAGCAACAACAACATCAAGAATAATAATAATAATCATTTCTACAGTACCAAACCCAATTTTTTCTACAACAACAACTCAAGCCCACCATATGAACGTATCAACGAATCGTTCGTGATTAATAGCAACAAACTGGTGAACAATTATAAACGCAACAACGCTGATGATGAAGACGACGACGATGACGTCCATGATAATGATACTGAATTTGTACTGACACCGTCACCATCCTCGCCTCAGCCACTACACAACAACAGTACAGGTACTAATAGTACAGTCAACAGCAGCAGATGCAGCAGCGACAAGAGCAACATCAACAACAGTGGTACGTACGCGATGAACAGTAACACTAACGATGAAGATAATGACGACGACGACGATGAAGATGATGAAATTGATGTTACATCTTCATGTTGATGAGATGATACACTCGGCATAATGATGTCACAGACATGTGAATTTGTTACATTAACATCAGCAGCCCGAACTCTTCAACATAATGTACATTTACTTATTTTATCAATAGTACTTTTTTCTCTTGAGTTATGGGTTTTTGGATTTGTAAATTAGTTTAACGTTATTGTAATAATAGTTGAATGTTAATGCTTTTGGTGACGAGTGTAACAAACATGAGTGTGTGTGTGTGTCTATGCGTTTATTTGTGCGTGTTTGGTTGTGTGTACGTGCGTGTGTGTGTGGGTGTATAAAAAGTGTGCTATTTTTGTAAATAATTTTATTTCTATTTAATGGAATTTTGTTTGAAACATGCGGAATAAAAATGATTTTTTTTTCTCGACAAACCGTTTTTTTTACTTCGAATTTATTGCATACGAACTGTTAAAAAAATCTGAAATAGATAATTCTTTCTAATTTTACCAACACTACACGCACACACACACACGCACGCACACACATCGTTAACGAATCGAAGCACAATACACATTGCATGCAACAGACGAGGATGTCTTTGCTTTCGAAGTCGGTAGTACAACACCAAAACTAG